TTAGAAATTGTTGAATTGTATAATGAGCTTGCAACTGGCCAATGCGACATCGTCTTTTGTTGCTTACCCAGCCACGTTGGCATTTCTGGGAATACAATGGCTGATCTTGCTGCCAAGGCAGCACTCAATAAATCTGTGACACCACTTCTCATTCCATACTCTGATTACAAAGCTAGCATTAGAACCTACATCCGTGATCTGATGCAGAAGAAGTGGGGCACCCAAGTAGGTATCAATAAATTACATGAAATAAAACCCTATATCGGTTACACTTACTTGGGTTGTCAGTCCAGATTTGAAGAGGTCATCATGCGGCGATGTCGTATTGGCCACACAAGATATACTCATGCATACCTATTGAAAGGTGAGGATCCTCCGTTTTGTATCCCTTGTGATGAGAGAACCACGGTCAAGCATGTCCTGCTTGACTGTGTTGAATTCTCCAACATAAGGGATAAATATTTAGTTAATTATCATTAAATCATTGATTTTTTAAAAGAGATAGATTTGTTAAATGAATTTTGATATATGTTTTGTAAATAGATAAAGTTTTATAATTGGTAGTTCAGATTATCATCTTAGATTGTTAGTGGCTGTATCCTCAAAGGGGTTGAAGCAGCGTAATATTATTGTCCTCCCGAGAGGGTACGTAAGTCCCCAAAACTTTCAAAGTAAACTTTTCACGTACCAAGTGTTTAAACGTAGTATTTTTGTTCTTTTAGATTTCGGCTAAATTATCCTACAATCGCCAGCGGCTGAAGGGATGGTGTAAATCCAGCTTGGCTCCATGCAGGTAGCGAAAGTAATGTAAGTCCCCATGGTTCCTAGTATGGTGATCTACCTTCAGTTGTTGGCGATCTATAGCCCGTGTTTTATATTGTATTGTCTTCTTTAATTGGAATGTTTTAGCTTTGTTCGCTAGTTTTATATTATATCTGTGATTATCTAGTATTTTTACTGTCCATCGTCGACAGGTTTTAATCTTTAAAATATTTTCACTTTTTATTGTATAAATTGTTTTCGTCACGGTATGGCTGAGATATTGCCGATGTGACGTTAAATATTAACTCACTCACTCACTCTCTCTTCTGTAAAATATGTTCATTTCAGAGACTAGTTGTTAGTCTAGGATATCCCGCTCAGTCACACTATACCGACTTCGAGCACATTCGTCCTCGGTGTATGCCCTCAATGCCTATCGTTAAGTATGGAGTCAGTACCTCAGGAAATAAGATCTCAATCACGGAGAATAGGTAGAAAAGTAGGTCCCCAGACTTTCTACCCAGCCAATAGTCTGTCTCACTGTCCCTGAACCACATTATTTTCCCTACTGCTTCGCCCTCCCTTCAGTGCTAAAGTCTAGATTTCCCCAGGTTCAGGAATCTCCCAACTCACTGGGGCTCCTTTTCAATTTAAATGGGTTTATTTGTTACTGTCAAAATTTTATATATTCAGGGACTAAGCGTTAGTCTACCCAACCTACTCCCACAGACTCTCCCCGCGCCACCAAAACGACCGCATTCTCGGACGCGAAGCTTTATCCAATTCCAGCACAAAGACCCACTTGTTCTCCAAGCAATGGATGTTCGCAAGAGGCAGCATACGCTCTGTCCGACCTTGAACAGAAAGAGATTCATTTGAAAGGTCGCTGAGTCGTTCCCCTCTTCCAGACTGGCACCATCTGCCCTCAGATATCATTCACAAAACCCTGTCTAACTATATAGGAAATCTACCCAAGAAATTGCTGATCATATCAATACGATACTGATCATAGATACACACCCATTGAAACATTAAGGGCAATATCGTCATAACCCTATGAATAATCTCATCATGGCCAGGTAGATGAGTGAGTGAGTGAGTGAGTGAGTGAGGTGAACGCCGCTTTGAGCAATCTTCCATTTAAACACGGCGTTTAAGTTGAATGTGGGAGAAAACTCCGAAGTAAGGCCACAGACGTTTCCTCCTTTGGTGACACCCATAAACACCGGTGCGGTTTTGACAAAACTAGAAACGTATTCGCGACGAACCAGGATTCGAACCCACATTCGTACGTTTGTGCCGTGCCAAAGGTAATGTGATTACTCACGATAAGCACATAAGAGTGAGTTTTACGCTGCTTTTGGAAATATTCCAGCAAAATCACGGCAAGGGATACCAGAAATGGCCTTTGAACATTTCACCTATATGGGGAATCGAACCCAGGTCTTCGGCGTGACGAGCGAACGCTTTAACCACTAGGCTACCCTACCGCCCTCAATGACATTTACTTGTCAGCCGCAAAAACTGAACACCAGACGCGATGGACGTGTTGGGCGCATTACGCTTTCACAGACGTAACTGTCTCTGCGGCGTAACTGCTACTGACGCAATGCTTACGTCAGTCACTAATGGACTTCACAGCCACTAGAAGTAGATTATATCAAATTTTTGCCACCGCGGACTGTTTGAAGAAAACAACATAGGTGAAACAAGTTTCTCCCTTCTCCCTCAGATCGATGCTGATGATGTGTGTTGTTTACCACCGCACTCAGCAATATTTCAGCTATATGGCGGCGGTCTGTAAATAACCGAGTCTGGACCAGACAATCCAATGATCAACAGCATGAACATCGATCTACGCAATTGGGGTATACGATGACATGTGTCAACCAAGTCAGCGAGCCTGACAACCCGACCCCGTTAGTCTTACGACAAGCATGGGTTGCTGAAGATCAATTCTGACCCGGATCTTCACGAGTACAAGCTCATGATATTAACCACTGGATTCTATGGTCCAGACATGACGTCATACTGATTGTAAATTGCCAATGCGGCTTTATGCAACATGCACACAAACAAAATCACAGTTGCTGTGGTAACCTTATTCCTGTGCTCCTCAACAGAAATGAGTTTTCTGCTGAATGTTAAACGTTATAACTGGCGTGTTTATAAATATATGTGACGGACAGTATTTCTTTTCATTCTACAGCTTTTGATATTTCCTTATCAACGCTGTGTTTATAGGTTTTGAAATAATCTCTCGGGAAAGGTCGAAACCCTGAGATATGCTCAGATCGCTATATGCCTGACTTCGCCATTTTTATCGTTGCCGGCTTGGCCTTGGAATCCACAGAACTTTCCAAAGGATGTTTGTCTGTTGTTTAACGCCGTACTCAGCAATATTCCAGCTATATGGCGGTGGTCTGTAAATAATCGAGTCTGGACTAGACAATCCTGTGATCAACACCGTGAACATCGACCTACGCAATTTTTATCCACAGAGCGAGCCTGACCACCCGATCCCGTTAGTCGCCTCGTACGACAAACATGGGTTGCTGAAGACCAATTCTAACCCGGATCTTCACGGATCCCAAAGTCTATACGTCTAGTGCAGATCTGTGTAAAACAACTAAAGCTTATAGTTCGTTGATGATGGCGGTCGTGTTGTAGCTTACGGGGGACAAGAGTGACGTCTCACAATAACAAATACAAATTTACTGCGTCAAAGGATTAATCAACGAGTAAAAATGTATGATATTTTACACGGATTCTCTGCATCATGAAATAAATGACATCAATAAAAGAAAATTTCGTTAAAAAATTAATGATTCATTTTTCATTTTATAATACGGCTGGGATAACTCTTTGTCAACAACACAAACAAACTGGTGTGTAGGCAGAGCTTGTGCATGTACCGGCATTATGGAACTTACAACAACCTTCCAATAGCGTTTCGTGGTAACTCAAGGCAACACGAGTTGCCTCCCTTGCCCTCAAAAAGTCAAAAGTCACCCAAGCGGACGTAAAATATTCTATGTGTGCGCGTGTGTGTGTGTGTGTGTGTGTGTGTGAGAGAGAGAGAGAGAGAGAGAGAGAGAGAGAGAGAGAGAGAGAGAGAGAGAGAGAGAGAGAGAGAGAGAGAGAGAGAGAGAGAGAGAGAGAGAGAGAGAGAGAGAGAGATACTTGCCGTCAGTGTACAACTACGCGCATCCAGACAACTCACCGAGCAATATTCCAGCAATATCACGGCGGGGTCACCAGGAATGGGTTTCACACATTACACCCATGCGGGGAATCGAACCCGGGTCTTCGGCGTGACGAGCGAACGCTTTAACCGCTAGGCTAACCCACCGCCCCCTTGTCACACAAAAGGTGAGGTGAGGTGAGGTGAAATTGGGTTTAACGTCGTGCTTGAGAATATTTCGCTCATATGAGGACGTGCAGGCATGAATATGTGCGGCTGCTTGTACTAACCCAGACTTAAGCTGGGTTTATAGTGCTAGCCCACTGAGATACCATGCCGCAGTGAAGCATGAATACCCACTCAGACACATTATACTGACTCCGAGCCAATCAGTCCTTGTACCCATTAATGCCGAGCGCCAGGCAGGGACCAACAAGTACCATATTTTAACGTCTTTTGGTATGACGCGGTCGGGGATCGAACCCGCGACCTTCCGCCCTCCGGGCGGACGCTCTAACCACTACACCGTGGAGGTGGTCTTGTCACACAAGAGGTGAGGTGAGGTGAAATTGGGTTTTACGTCGTGCTTGAGAATATGTCGCTCATATGACGACGTGCATGCGTGTGTATGTGTATGTGCGGCTGCTTGTACTAGCCCAGACTGAAGCTGGTTTTATAGTGCTAGCCCATTGATGTACCATGCCGCAGTGAAGCATGAATACCCCACTCAGACACATTATACTGACTCCGAGCCGACCAGTCCTTGTTGTACCCATTAATGCCGAGCGCCAGGCAGGGACCACACAAGAACTACATCGAGTGGTGTTGGGTCTTAGGGGATGTTTCTCCGTTATTGGTAAGGCTTATCAGACCTGTTTTGGCCAATATTGGAAGCTTAACTATTGTAAAAGTGATTTTTATTGATTTTTAAACTTACTTTATTGTTTTTGTTGTTTGTTCTTGTTGGTTTCGGATTTATTTCTGGTAAATTCATTGCTTCAGTTTTGGAATGTACTGGTAAAAGAGGTTTTCAATATGGCAAAGACAGAAAACAGCTGTTTAATGAAGTTTATTTTTATACTGCATTTATATACCATGTGGTCATCGAGCCACAATCAGGTCGTCGGAAGTGATATCTCGAGGACAGTCGTTGCATGTCATGCCTTCTTTAGCCGTCTGTAACAAATGGCAGATCATCAACATCATCATCATCATCATCATCATCATCATCATCATCATCATCATCATCATCATCGTCATCATCATCATCATCATCGTCGTCGTCGTCATCATCATCGTCATCATCATCATCATCATCGTCGTCGTCGTCATCATCATCATCATCGTCATCATCGTCGTCAACCCCTTAATGATCTACCAATAATGTCCAAATGTACCCAGCGCTTCTTCTTCTTCTTCTTCTTCGAGAAGACCTTCAGCAACCCATGCATGTCGTAAGAGGCGACTAACGGGATCGATTGGTCAGGCTCGCTGACTTGGTTGACACATGTCATCGGTTCCCAATTGCGCAGGTCGATGCTCATGCTGTTGATCACTGGATTGTCTGGTCCAGACTCGATTATTTACACACCGCCGCCATATAGCTGGAATATTGCTGAGTGCGGCGTAAAACTAAAGTCACCCTCTCACTCCTGATGTAAATATATACATTTAATGAGCGAGTGAGCTGGAAAATATATCCTTTACTGCTTTTAACCATTTCCGAGACGTGACGTGGACATTGATGATTTGCAATTGAAGAAGATGTGAAACAATAACACTCTGGTCAGACTAGACAACATATTAATCAATAAGATAACCATGCGGTAAAATAAAATAAAATATGGATGTTATCGGTTTTAGCAAAATACGAATTTCATCATTTGGTCAGTAATGAATTGTTCCAAGTCTTCAGGGGATGCTAACCCGTAGGTTTGGGAGTTGGTTTGGTTCCCGTTGTGGATTGCGGGGCTGTGGTTGTTGGTCTCTGGGTCACGGTTGGTCGAGTTGCTTTGGGAATAACTGAAACATGAGATTAATATTGAGAAAGTGATGCTAACATTGCTTCAACATCGTGGCTTGAAACATAGAGCATAGACGAGTAACTGTCGGTGAAATGTAAGAGCTTTCCAACGAAAGTGAGAAAGCATTGATCAAAAGTTCAGGCAAATCTTAGATTTGATTTAACAAATACTGAAAAATGGTCCTAAAGACTTATTGCATAACGGAATAATGAAGTCTCCTTGTAATTTAACACTGAATACATTACATGGTGAAAAGAATACATGAACCCCCTTTGGTTTGGAACTTGGAAAACAGTCAGATGTAGGTGATGCTAACCCGTAGGTTTTGGAGTTGGTTTGGTTCCCGTTGTGGATTGCGGGGCTGTGGTTGTTGGTTTCTGGGTAACGGTTGGTCGAGCTGCTTTGGGAATAACTGAAACATGAGATTAATATTGAGTAAGTGATGCTAACATTGCTACAACATCGTGGCTTGAAACACAGAACATAGACGAGTAAGAGTCGGTGAAACGTAAGAGCATTACCCCGAAAGTGAGAAAGCATTTATCAAATTTAAGGAAAATCTCGGATTTGATCTAACTAACAGTGAAAGATGGTCCTGAAGACTTATTCACATTATGGAATAGAGAAGTCTCCTTGAAACGTAACAATGCCGACATTACTTGGAATATATCTGAATTCCCTTTGGCTTGGGACTGTATTGCCCACAGGGACGTCGTCAAGTCAGGATGTCATGTGTTACGAGAGTCAGTGAGTGAGTGAGCATGGTTCTACTCCACTTTCACCAATATTACAGCCATGATTGGCGTGGAATCCCCTAAACAAAACCATGCAACGTTCCTGTGGAGGGAAGCTAGGTGTTCTGTATGACGATCAAAAGTGCAAGCTCAAACTAATACACTATCATAGACGGCAATGAGTACTATATATATACTATCCCCAAAAAGAAACGCATGGGCTTTTTGTATTTTTAAAATCGATTAATTACCTTCTGTGTCAAACAGTGTTGATAACATGATTTTACACAATTGCACAAGTAGAGAATCGACTTTACCTGAAAAGGTTGGTTTTGATGTGATTGCTTACAAGAATTAAAAAGGCATCGCCACAACGCAACAGAAATCACCTCCCAGTTGAAATTGTGCAGCAAAGAGCATGCACTGTCTGGCTATCAAAATCTAGATTACTTTCGAAATCGGCATTCGTTTTGAAGGAGTTTCAAGGTCAAATCACTACGCCACGTCTTGACGCTGCGACACGGAACATCGTCATTGAAAGAATGCACGCTGGAGATTAACAATCTTCTGTTGCCAAGCGTCTGAATGTTAATCTGAGCACGATATCACGGCTTGCAGCTCGTTACAACCAAACAGGTATAACAAATGACCGTCCCGTACAGGCAGACCTCTATTCACCACTTCAGCCCAAGATCGGTACATCCGGGTACTACATTTGCGTGTTCCTACTGCCATGGGTGAAAGCACAGCAGCCAGGGTGCCCGGACTTCGGAGGATATCCGGTCAAACTGTACGGTACAGGTTGAGAGAGATTGGACTGAGAACCAGGAGACCCGACGTCGGGACCGTGCTACGTCGTCACCATCGCGCTCAACGTCTCCGTTATCTAAAATAATCCACTTGGTTATATAGACATTTCCTTCTTCTAAACTGATGTAAGATTTCATGCACTAAAGTCTATGTGTGGACGAGTTATACATGTTTGAATATACCACATTTTCGCGACAGATTTCTGGCCTATGCGTTTCATTTTTGGGATGGTATATTTTATGATGTTTGGTTGAAGTGACGTTTTCGTTTCTCTCCATGCGGACTACTTCAAGTGCAAAGGAGTTGTAATGTATGATTTCTCAAATTGTAGAACAAGGCTCTTTAGACAAAGCTGTGTTATAGTTATGACGGTTGCCAGGTAACGTAACTTATAGAAATTACGATGTCCTTAGCGCTAAGTTCGCTTTGTGTATGTGGCCCTGATCTTTGATAAAGGTGCCCTTACGATACCAGCCATGATACTTACCATCTGAAGAACAAGCACCTGTTGTCACGCTGAAATCATCGATCGCAATATCACCCGAGTAGCCAGCTCCAACGGTGCCCTCAAAGACAATTTGGTATGACGTGTTGCTTGACACAGTGCTGAGAGAGACCTTCGCCACTTTCCAAGAGTTACCTTGATTTCCTGTTGAAGAGTGAGTTTGGGGGACATCATTAGTTGGTGATGTGCCCCAAAGGTATCATAGGGAGGGCCTGTGGATAGCAAATGTTGCAAATCTGGGATTGAGGAAACAGATCCTGTCGTGACTAGGGAAATGTATCAGCATATCAACTCTTAAGTACCATGTGCCTTAGCTGACCTGAATAGTTTTCAAACAATACACACATGATGAAACATTTCATCCTTCGAAAGGTCGTCACAATCACTGGCACAGACTTGGGTTAGTCAAACACCTGGAGGGATGGTAAGGGGAATGCAAGAATTACAGATATTTTTACGTCTTACCTGACAAATGCCAAAGAGGAGAACCCCTGGCACCATTCCTCATGACATACACATTCAGACTACCAATGGAGATTCCATACATGTGGTACCAGAAGGTGAGGCATGATGGTGAAGTGGGTCCAGTTAATATGAAGGAGTTGAGTCGAGCAACATCACCAGGTCGTCTTGGTGCAGAGCTCTCAATGTACATGTAGTGACCTGAATCAAGAAATCGGTAAAGTGGAGTTATAAGAGTAAGGCTGGCAAGACTGAAACTGATGACGATGGTGATCACAATGATAATACGTGAATACACCCTGCTTCGAGGGTTACCTTGCTATCATATTAACCATTAGCTACTAATGTAACACACAATTGGGGGGCATGGTTGGCGAGCTGGATAAAGCGCCAGGCTAGTGATCCAGCGAGCATGAGTTGCCGGGATCGAGCCCACCTGTGACCGGGTGTAAAAACCTTGGAGTCAACTTTGTGTGCAGACTCTTTCAGTGTTGTCACAACCCCTAGTGTACAGTACACAACCCTGTGCACCTATAAGAACCCACGAATCCGTTGGTATATGACCAGATGGTGGCCACATGAATACGTGCAAACACCTAGTTGCGGGTATAGCAACGTGCAGTAAACTTGGACAAAATACTGTGACTATGTGTCCCAGTCCACCAAGCTGTGAATGGGTACCTCGTACGGATGGGAAAGCCGCAATAACTCGGTGCGCCTAGAGGCTGCAAGAGTTGTATGCTCCCCAGGGAGTAAAATGTGCCGTTGAGATTGACATCCAATGATCGAGGGAAAAACTACCAGCGCCTTGAGCATGCACTAGTGCGTGGATATGTGCGCTGTATAAATTTCCAATAATACAATAATTATGGCACTATCTGACTAGTGTATAAATGGTTGATAAGACAAACTAAGGACCACTGTAATTCAAGGTGCTGTGAATTGAATCTGGAAGAACGGAGGGGGTTCATACCTAATCTTGTACCATACGTGTGGTCACTGGAAGGTCCAGTGCCGAAGGAAGAGGTTGGCCCTTCATGCTTTGTCCAGTCGAAATCGTCTGAATGGTCTTGAGAGAATCCACATATGATATTATCCTCAAAGTTACATTTGTCAGCAGCTGGTTTTGACGAGGGGGCCACTGTTGTCCCTGCGTAAGATGAAGAATAGACTCGAGAGTGACAAACTATTTCAGCAGCATCTTGTGGCTGTTGTCTTGCATCGCTGGCTCAAAGTAAGCTAAGCATATCTATGAGAGATCCAAGTTTACCTGCTGATGGTAACTTATTCTGGATTATGTTTGTGAGGCCTAAACACACATGAGTGAAATAACCTTGAGAGCTATGTCACATCCTTTTTCAACTCTTACACACAAAAAAACGGGACGCTTCTTGTCTTTCATGATCTAAATACAGTGGGGAATGATATTTTCATGTCAGATATAGATTCGGATGTAACGGTCTAAAATTAGAAAAATATCAGTTTTCAGAGGTATTTGAAGCAAATCTAAAATCTCCTTAGATCTAATTCCTCACATATATTTGTCGAAATAATCATAGGCTTTCAATGATTGATTAAGAAATCCGGTGGTTAATTTCTGTGAGAGGAATGGAGAGGATGGAATCATTTCTTCCTGGTGATTGTCAAAGGGACACGAGACAGCATAGCATCAATGGTGACGCTCATTTAAATGTATACATTAGATGAGTTTGTGGGGTTTTTGCGAGGGCATATCTTTTGCTGCTTTCAGCCAGCAATGTTTAGCCATTTCCAAGCCTTGTCATGACAGGTGACATCACTGATGCACGATGGAAGAAGTACCCATGTAAAACAATCCCCCACACGTCTTCGTCTAGACAAGCCAACATTTTTAGCAATTGGCTACCCAAATGCCAAAATCAAATGAAATACCGATGTTATCGGTTTTTTCCAAAATTCGAACTACGGCGTTTGGTAACTACTGAATTGTGCAATAACGTCAGATATATGTGATGCTAACCCGTAGGTTTTGGAGTTGCTTTGGTTCCCGTTGTAGATTGTGGGGCTGTGCTTGTTGGTTTCTGGGTAACGGTTGGTCGAGCTGCATTGGGAGTCACTGAAACATGAGATTAATATTGAGTAAATGTGATGCTAACATTGCATAAAAAGCGTGGTTTGAAACATAGACGAGTAAGAGTTGGTGAAACGTTAGAGCATTACATTGAAAGTGAGAAGGCATTGATCAAAAGTTCAAGCAAATCTTAGATTCGATTTAGCAAATGGTGGAAAATGGTCCTAAACACTTATTTACATTGTGGATAGAGAAGTGTCCTTGGAAAATAACAATGCCTACATTACTTGGCTGCTTGGTTGATTAACACCGCACTAATCAATATTCAAGCTATATGGCGGCGGTTTATAAATAATCGAGTCTGGAACAGACAATCCAGTGATCAAAAGCATGAGCATCGACCTAGGCAACTGAGATAGGATGGCATCTGTCAATCAAAACAGCGAGAAGGAACACCCGATGCCGCCTCTTTCGACAAGCATGGGTTACTGAAGACCAAACCTGACTCGAATCTTCAAGGGTCACGTTACTTGGTGAAAATATAGCGGAACTCAACTTTCTCCAAGGGAACAACTTCAAGGGCAAAGGACTTTTGATGGATAATTTCTCCAAATTTCCTAAAAAGGTTCCATTTGACAAAGCTGTGTTACAGTCACCAGGCAACGCATTTTTTAGACGTTACTATTGACTTGGCTATAAGATCGCTTTGTGGAATGTGGCCCCGACCTTGGATAAAGGTGACCCTAAGATACTAGCCATGATACTTACCATCTGACGAACAAGCACCTGTTGTCACGCTGATATCATCGATCGCAATATCACCCGAGTAGCCAGCTCCAACGGTGCCCTCAAAGACAATTTGGTATATCGTGTTGCTTGACACAGTGTTGAGAGAGACCTCTGCGGCTTTCCAAGAGTTACCTTGATTTCCTGTTGAAGAGTGAGTATGGGTGACATCATTAATTGCCACTGATGTACCCCCTCATTTATGATAAGGAGGGACCAAGGATAGCAAATGTTGCAAATCTGGGATTGAGGAAGCAGATGTTTCGTGACTGGAGGACAACTCTTTAGTACCGTGTGTTTTAGATGATCTGTATAGTTTACCAACAACACACTAACGATGAAACATTTCATCCTTCCAAAGGCCACCACAATCACTGGCACCGACTTGACCTCTGGGTTAGTCAAACCCTCTGGAGGGATGGTGAAAAATATGCCAGATCTAGAGATTTTACTACGTCTTACCTGACAAATGCAAAATTAGAGATCCCTTGGCACCATTCCTCATGATATACACATTGAGAGCACCAATGGAGCTCCCATACATGTGGTACCAGAAGGTGAGGCATGTTGGTGAGATGGGTCCAGTTAATATGATGGAGTTCAGTCGAGCAACATCATTGGGTCGTCTGGGTTCAGAACTCTCAATGTACATGTAGTGACCTGAATCAAGACAGTGGTAAAAATGGGAATTATGATACTGAGGTTGACAAGATTGAAACTGGTGCTGGTTATGTGTAAATTAAAGCCAGTTTATGAGTTTTCAGGACTGACATTTACCATTAGCTACTACAGAGGCAATGCCAATTATGGCATCTATATAGTTTGTAAGACAAACATATCACCATTGAAATTCAAGGTGCTGTTACTTTTACACTGATGATTTGGCTCTAAAAACAGACATTGAGGAACCTAGAATTTGCAGCATTCCTGAAAGTACGGATGGGGGGTTCATACCCAACATTGTCCCATAAGTGTGGTCACTCGCGGGTCCAGTGCCAGTTGAACTAGTTGGCCCCTCATGCCTTGACCAGTCGAAATCGTCTGAAAGGTCTTGAGAGAATCCACATATGATGATATCCTCAAAGGTACATTTGTCAGCGGCTGGTTTTGATGAGGGGCCCAATGTTGTTCCTGTGTAAGATGAAGGATAGACTCGTGAGTGACAAACTATTTCAGCAGCATCTTGTGACTGGCTCAAAGTAAGATAAGCATGTCTGTGAAAGATCCAAGTTTAACTGCTGGTATGGTGATTTAGATATATGGTCTGGACTATGTAAGTGAGGCCTGAAACACACACGAGTGAAATAGTCGTGAGAGCGATGCCACGCCCCTTTCCAGCTCTTTCATCCCAAACTGGACGTTCTTGTCTTTCACGATCAAGGTACAGTGGGGAATGATATTTTCATGTAAGATATTGGATCTAATAGTCTAAGATTAGAAAATATACTGGACAAAATAAGTTAGGGATATTGGTATTTACATGATTGATATTTTACCAGTGTGTCAATGAATAAATAGATCATTATTCATAATTTCAAAATTTACATATATCCCTAACTATTTTTTGTCCAGTACATCAGTTTTCAAAGGCAACTGAGGTAAATCAAAATCTCTTTAAAACTGATTCCTAACATATAACATTGAAAATAAACGTAGACTAGAAATCCGATGGGTGATCTCTGTGAGAGGCATCCATGATTGAATCATTTCTTTCTGGTGACACAAGACAACAAAGCCCAGTGGCGATCATTATTTATATGTATACATTAGTTGAGTTTGTGGGGATTTGTGGGAGAGCATTTCTTTTGCTGCTTTTGGCCATTTCCAAGCAGTGTCATGACAGGTGACATCAATGATGCACGATTGAAGAAGTACCCATGTAAAACAACCCCCCACTCTAAGCAATGGGTTAACCAAACGATAAAACAAATGAAATACCGACGTTATTGCTTTGAAGCAAAATACGAACTACGGCGTTTGGTCATTACTCAATGGTCTAAAAGTGTCAGATACAGGAGACGCTACCCGTAGGTTTTGGGAGTTGCTTTGTTCCCCTCTGTGGATTGTGGGGCTGTGGTTGTTGGTTTCTGGGTAACGGTTGGTCGAGCTGCATTGGGAATCACTGAAACATGAGATTAATATTGAGTAAGTGATGCTAACATTGCTTCAACATCGTGGCTTGAAACATAGAGCATAGACGAGTAACGGTCGGTGAAACGTTGGAGCATCACCATGAAAGTGAGAAAGCATTGATGAAAAGTTCAGGTACGTATGGTACGTCGTTGATAGACGTGTACGTCCATGGATCTAAAAAACAACAATTCTGCTATTACTGATAAGTGGAACAGCCCAAGTCGAGATGACATTGTTCGACACATCAGGAGCATGCCACGAAGACTTCTTGCATGTCTTGTCAACATAGATGTTTTAAGGAAGGATAACAAGATATGGACGAAAACAGTCTTCATTACAGTAAGAGTGGCATTTCGGTGTAGGTTCTAACAGTTATCAAGGTTGTCAGACCCTACACCATAACCTCACTCACACTACAATAAATACGTTGTTCATCCATATATTGTTATCTATTCTCACTGGACCGCCTCCGTGGTGTAGTGGTTAGAGCGTCCGCCCGGAGATCGGAAGGTTGCGGGTTCGATCCCCGACCGCGTCATACCAAAAGACGTTAAAATATGGTACTTGTTGGTCCCTGCCTGGCGCTCGGCATTAATGGGTACAACAAGGACTGGTCGGCTCGAGTCAGTATAATGTGCCTGAGTAGGGTATTCATGCTTCACTGCGGCATGGTATCTCAGTGGGCTAGCACTATCAAACCAGATTCAGTCTGGGCTAGTACAAGCAGCCGCACATACACATACACATGCATGTACGTCGTCATATGAGCGAAATATTCTCAAGCACGACGTAAAGCCCAATTTCACCTCACCTCACCTCACCTTCCTTACTGAAAAGGTATCTAGATATTGAGACGATTGTTTCTGTGGCAGTCGAGCGCTTACTTCCACAGTACCCCGTCATGACGGTGATGTCGTCAATTGCGATGTCGCCAGTGTAGCTAATGCCCCGGACGCCTTCAAACACAATGGTGTAACTACTGAACCGCTCTGTGATTGGTGCCTCGCCCAGGAACCAGCCGTTGCTTCGGTTACCGGACTGATGCCAGATCATCTTGTCAGTTCGTCCTGTTCATGAAATTTTCGTATGTTTAAAGAACTGCGTTCATATGATGACATATATAAGTAATGTAGGTGTAAAAAGTCAAAGAGGGTTGTATATATTGTATGAAGCTATATCGGTTTAACGGGTACATTAGAAATAAATCTGAATACGTACCAATTACCATATTTGTGAGTGAGTTTTGTTTTACGCCTCTGTTAGCAATATCAAGGCGGGGACACCAAAATGGTCTTCACACCGTCACCAATTGGCACAGTAAGATTATACATAAATTAAATAGGCTTATTATCGAACTGGAACCACATTGTTTAACGTGTATTTATGTCTACATGAATTTTAATAGAATATCTGTTTATTGCTAATCTCCGGCTAAACTTGGAGAACTGGTTTAAACACGACTGGGGAATGTTAGTAGCGGAGGTGCGGTATGTAACCATGGTTCCCAGTAGGGTGCTGTTGGCAACGTCTGACCCCATCTTTATATCGTTTTCTTGTCGGACAGTTTTAATTAGTTTGTGTCTGATTTAAAACCCCTTAAATACGCGATATATTGCTAATTGTTATACTGTCCTTCATGTTACAATTTTCGTATAACTGTAAAAACTGCCGACTGGACTTAAATTCAACTCACTCATTCATGTTATTGAACCAGTATTAACCAATCTTTTCATGTCAGTACGATTGCAGAAATTCCTTTACAAGTGCGACTTACCGGGCACCCTGATGTAGACGTTGAGGGAACCGACTGTGGCCCCGTACATGCTGTACCAGAAGTTGATGCAGCTACTGGTGTTGGAAGGGGGGAAACTCTCACTGACCAGCCACGCCTTGTCTCCGGCCAGTCTTGGGGCCGAGGTTTCAATGAAGAGGTACCTGCCTGCACACATACCATTGCAAAACTTATCATCTTTGGTGGTTGTGGTTCGTGTGTCCTTTTGATATTTCCCTGACATATTACCCTGGCATATTACGCGTTGCATATTACCCCTGTCATATTTCCCTCACAATTACTTCTGACAGATTATCCCTGGTAGATCATCCCTGACAAATTACCCCTGACAGATATCCCCTGTGATATTACCCCTGTCACATAACCCCTGTGATATTACCCTTGTGACATAACCCCAGTGATATTACCCCTGTCAGATAACCCCCGTGATATTACACCTGTCACATAACCCCTGTGATATTACCCCTGTCACATAATCTCTGTGATATTACCACTGTCACATTACCCCTGTCACATAACCCCTGTGATATTACCCCTGTCACATAACCCCTGTGAGATCACCCCTGTCACATAACCCCTGTGATATTACCCCTGTCACATAACACCTGTGATATTCCCCCTGTCACATTACCCCTGTCACATAACCCCTGTGATAATACCCCTGTCACATAACCCCCGTGATATTACACCTGTCACATAACCCCTGTGATATTACCCCTGTCACATAACACCTTTGATATTCCCCCTGTCACATTCCCCTGTCACATAACCTCTGTGATATTACCCTTTCACATAGCCCCTGTGAGATCACCCTGTCGGATTACTCGTGACATATCACCCCTGCCAGATGACCCTTGACATATCACCCCTGTTGGATCATCCCTGCCAGATTACCCCTTACAGATTACCCTTGACATATCACCCCTGTCAGATTACCCTTGACATATCACCCCTGCCAGATTACCCCTTACAGATTACCCTTGACATATCACCCCTGTCAGATTACCCTTGACAGATCACCCCTGTCAGATTACCCTTGACAGATCACCCCTGCCAGATTACCCTTGACATATCACCCCTGCCAGATTACCCTTGACATATCACCCCTGCCAGATTACCCTTGACATATCACCCCTGTCAGATTACCCTTGACATATCACCCCTGTCAGAAATTAAACTATGGCGACACAGAGTCTTGAATATTAAAATATTCGTATACGTGTCATTTCGCCTTTTGATATGTTGTGTTGAAGGTTGTGGTAAACATACTGTCTGTAAACCTTTTACTCATTTAATTTTATTCAATTAATTCACAACGGCATTGTTCTTTGTGATTTACTGAGCTGTATACCTTGTGCATTGCCGAGCGTGTGGTCCCTCGAAGGTCCAGTATAGGAACTGGACGTCATACCGGAACCCAAAATCCAGTCAAACTGATCTCCCCCGCCAGTGTTCGACCAAGTGCACAGGCCAGATTCGAACGTGCAGTCGCCTATAGATGAGGACAATAACAGAAACTTGATTCCCTGAACAGACACGCAGTTGTGTTCTATCAGATGTGGTTACCATGCCCAATCGTCAATAAACATTGATCGAAAATAATTTAAACACACTAAATTCCACACACTATGGTAGAGCAATCTGAAAGTTAAAAATTGCAGTTGTCACAATACAACATTTCATTATCAAAATGTCATTTATTAATAAACCAAAACAAGTAACAGAAAACTTCTTTATAACTTCTTTGAGTGGCATTTTAGAAGTCTGTAAAAAAATCTGTATTGAAACATCGCACTCACGAAATAAAGAATTTGTTAGCGAAAATTGTCTATTTGGTAACAGTTATCCATAGACATGTAGTGTGAAGCCCATTTCTTGTGTCCCTTACGTGATATTGCTAGAATATTGAAGATTGAAGAAGTACCCATGTAAAACAATCCCCCACTTTAAGCAATGGGGTAACCAAACGATAAAACAAATCCGATTGGTGATCTCTGTGAGATGAATCCATGATTGAATCATTTCTTTCTGGAGGGTGTCACAGGGACACATGACAACAAAGCCCAAGTGGCGATCATTTTAGTCTTCAGATACAGGGGATGCTAACCCGTAGGTTTGGGAGTTGGTTTGGTGCCCGTTGTGGATTGTGGGGCTGTTTTGGTTGTTGGTTTCTGGGTAACGGTTGGTCGAGCTGCATTGGGAATAACTGAAACATGAGATTAATATTGAGTAAATGTGATGCCAACATCGCTTCAACATCGTGTCTTAAAACACAGAACATGAACGAGTAAGATCATTACCATGAAAGTGAGAAAGCTTTGATGAATGTTCAGGAACATCTCGGATTCAATCTAACAAACAGTGAAAGATAGTCCTGAAGATTTATTCACAATATGGAATAGAGAAGTCTCCTTGAAAAGTGACAATGCCTACATTACTTAGTGGAAAATATATTGGAACAAAGTGGACCTCCCTTTGGCATGGGACTGCATTGCCCACAGAGACGTCATCAAGTCATGATGCCATGCCTTACGAGAGCCAGTGAGTGGGTGAGCATTGTTCTACTCCACTTTCACCAATATTACAGCCCTACTTGGCGTAGCATCCCATAAACAAAACCATGTCATATTCCAGTGGAGGGAATCATAGGCGTTCTGCATGACGATGAAAAGTGCAAAATCAAACTGAACTAAACAATAAACTATCACTGACAGCAATGTGTTTCACAGAGCACTATACATGGTTTATAATGATTAGTTCAATGTGATATTTTCGTTTCTTCCCATGGGGGACTACTTTAAGGACAAAGGACTTGTGGTGTATGATTTCTCAAATTTGTAGCCTTTAAGATCTAAGAAGGATATATTTGACAAACAAAGATCGCTTTGTGGAACGTGCCACCGATCTTTGATAAAGGTGCCATTACGATACTACCCATAGTACTTACCACCCAATGAACAAGCACCAGCTGTCACGCTGAAATCATCGATCGCAATATCACCCTCATAGCCAGCTCCAACGGTGCCCTCAAAGACAATTTGGTATGACGTGTTGCTTGCCACAGTGTTGAGGGAGACCTTCGCCATTTTCCAAGAGTTACCTTGGTTTCCTGTTGAAGAGTGAATTCGGGTGACATCATAAATTGCCACTGATGTACTGGTAATGTATGATATGGAGGGACCAAGGACAGCAAGTATTGCCAATCTGGGATCGGGGAAGCAGATGTTGTCGTAGCTGGAGAACATTCCTCTGCATAAGAACTCTTTAGTTCCTTGTGTTGTAGCTGACCTGGATAGTTTTCCAACAATACACTACAAATGAAACATTTCATTCTGTAAAGGCCACCACAATCCCTGGCACAGACTTGATCTCGGGGTTAGTCAAAGCGATGGTAGGGGGACTGACACATATAAAGACATTACAATGTCTTACCTGACAACTGCCAAATAGAACTCCTGGCACCATTCCTCATGACATAGACATTCAGAGTACCAATCGAGGTTCCATACATGTGGTACCAGAACGTGAGGCATGTTGGTGAGTTTGGGGGACATTATTAATTGCTGATGTGCCCCAAAGGTATCATAGGGAGGTCCTGAGGATAGCAAATGTTGCAAATCTGGGATTGAGGAAACAGATCCTGTCGTGACTAGGGAAATGTATCAGCATATCAACTCTTAAGTACATGTACCTTAGCTGACCTGAATAGTTTTCAAACAATACACACATGATGAAACATTTCATCCTTCGAAAGGTCGTCACAGTCACTGGCACAGACTTGGGTTAGTCAAACACCTGGAGGGATGGTAAGGGGAATGCAAGAATTACAGATATCTTTACGTCTTACCTGACAAATGCCAAAGAGGAGAACCCCTGGCACCATTCCTCATGACATACACATTGAGAGTACCAATGGAGATTCCATACATGTGGTACCAGAAGGTGAGGCATGGTGGTGAGGTGGGTCCAGTTAATATGAAGGAGTTGAGTCGAGCAACATCACCAGGTCGTCTTGGTGCAGAGGTCTCAATGTACATGTAGTGACCTGAATCAAGTAAGTGGTAAAGTGGGAGTTACCACACTTAGGCTGGCCAGTTTTAAAATGATGATGCTAATATGTGAATGGAAGCTGCTTCAAGCGTTATCTTGCTATTGTATTCACTGACTATTTTGAGTGCCCATTGGGTGTGAAGCAAGGATGTTTGTTAAGTCCAATTCGTTTTTCCTTCTTCATTAGATACCAAAGGAAGATACAGTTATGGGATATATCTGTATAAATTGTTGATAAGACAAACGTATGACTTCTTATATTCAAGTTGCTGTGAATTGAATCGGGACTGACGGATGGAGGTTCGTACCTAATCTTGTCCCATACGTGTGGTCACTTGAAGGCCCAGTGCCGAAGGAAGAGGTCGCCCCTTCATGCCTTGACCAGTCGAAATTGTCTGAATGGTCGACGTCTTGAGAGAATCCACATAGAATAGTATCCTCAAAATTACATTTGTCAGCGGCAGGTTTTGACGAGGGGCCCACTGTTGCTCCTGCGTAATATCAAGCATTCACTCGTCAGTCACAAACTATTTCAGTAACATAATATAAAGGGAATATCTTGTTTCGTGTTAAAACAAAAGGTACATAGAACAGAATCCATGTTTTGTTTTGGCCAGCTGGTAGTCGTGACCTTTGCCCACTGCACACGTATGGTACGTCGTTGGTGGACGTGTACGTTCATGGATCTAAAAAAACAACAATTCTGCTATTACTGATAAGTGGAACAGCCCAAATCGAGATGACATTGTTCGACACATCAGGAGCATCCACGAAGACTTCTTGCATGTCTTGTCAACATTGATGTTTTAAGGAAGGATAACAATATATGGACGAAAAAAGTCTTCATTACAGTAAGAATGGCATTTCGGTGTAGGCTCTAACAGTTATCAAGGTTGTCAGACCCTACACCATAACCTCACTCACACTACAATAAATACGTTGTTCATCCATATATTGTTATCCTTCCTTACTGCTTCAACTTCTAAATGCCTCTCGAACAAGTTATAAATCTTTTACATAATGTTAATGCAAATTTCGAATATGTCACCGACCTCTTTCACGAGAAAGTGCACCATCATATCCCCCATGAGAACCCACTACTTGGCGTAGTTGGCGTTGGCGTATGATCATATCATTTTTATTTGCCAATACCACAAGAGTCATGGACTTGATTATTTCCAATATCCCCTTTAGTTTTGGCATTGTATATTGTATTTGTATCATTTTGTCATGTTTTCATAAACAAATTACCCGTGATGCCATTTTCAACAAAATCCACAGTTTTATTATAAAGGGCTAAGCATGAAAACCAAACATTTGTATTCATTGAGCATTTTGTTTCATTGTAGTGATGCCTTTTCCTCATAAAAATAACCTCAAATCTATCAGTATTTGTCCTTTACATCTTTAACATATAGCTTTTTTATTTGGTTATAGAGTTTCAACAAAATTAGTAATTATTTAATAAACAAAAATTGTTTCCTGAAATAAATTACCTAGTGCCTGTTTGGTACTGTGTTTCATGCTTTGGAAACCCCTCCATTTACGAATGCTGACCATCCACTTCTGAGATTTGGACCTACTGACAATTTAACATTCTGCAATATGCTATCGACATGCAAAGTCTTATACACGAGGTAGAATGAGCAATGTTTGGTCAATAGAGATGGTGCACTTCATCACCTGCTGAACAAGAGCCGTTGGCGATGTTAACGTCATCAATGGCTGTAACACCTTGATTGCCGCCACTCACGCCTTCAATCACCACCTACAACAAGATGAGATTGTCATCAGAACAGAACCATTTTTCCTCCCTATAGTACTTTTCAGTTGAATATCAATCTGGTCTTTTTGCCTTCACTTTGGAGAACACTTATTATTGATATCGAACCATATTTTAGCCAAAAGTGACAACAGTCTTTCCTGAAAGTACTGTCTATGAATGGTTATTTCAGAATTTAATCTGTTTTATGAACAATATTGAACTAAAATGCAGCAACAATTTTGAACAATACTTATGGTGCTGCTTTATGATTTCCATTCAGCATTGTATTTCTCACAAGTAAGTAATATTCGTTCACGCAGCAGCGTTTCATATACGGTTTTGGGGTCAACACATAGTATGATCCTTACTTTGTCCCTACTTGAAAAAGGGGCGGTGGGGTAGCCCAGTGGTTAAAGCGTTCGATCGTCATGTTGAAGACCCGGTTCGAAACCCCACATGGGTACATTGTGTGAAGCCCATTTCTGGTGTCCCCCGCCGTGATATTGCTGGAATATTGCTAAAAGCGGCGTAAAACTAAACTCACTCACTCACTTACATTAAAAGGGATCTTGACGTTGACTGAGATCTGCCCCATGAGCCAGTGGGTGCCCTGAGTCCCAGTCCTCTTCCAGGTTGGAGTGGATGGAATGACTATTCCTGTTTGAACGTACACGTTGAGGGCGCCGACGTTGCTGCCGTACATGTTGTACCAGAAGGTAATGCAGCTCTGGCCTGCCTGGACCAGGGGACTGAACAGCCGAGCTTTGTCCCTGGTTTTCCCACTGACTGAAGATGGTTCAGAGTGGATGTAGTAGCCATCTATAAGAGAAACACTGATGAATTCTTCGCGCCACTACCATAGATGCCAAGTTCCAGACTTGTATTCAATGGTCATTGGATCGGGATACTTGTCGAAACAAGATAAGTCTTTCTTTTGAAGTAATGTACATTAAAGGTGAAATTTATGGACATCAGCTTCTCTATTATGAGAAAAACCACGTCCAAGAGTAAACTCTTACTTCTGAATAAGGGAGTAAGAATATACTCTGTAACAAGGGGTGCCTCATAATAAAGAAGTTGCCATCCATAGATTGTCATCTTTTTGGATTACAATTGCATTCGAGAGGGATATTAACGTCACGTCAAATAGTAATTATCTGTAACCGAATAGATGGGATGTTTTATGCCGTTTGGGGCAAAATTCCAGCTTTGTCAGACAAGTCTTGCCGTTTCAAATTATTAGTAAGAACTACCCTTTATCTTGCCTCACACATAAATGTCGTTTTCTGACTGGCTGAGCGCTCTTCTATTATTTTCAATGTACCCCGTTAACAAGCAAGGAACATTTTCTATGTACCCCGCTGGGAGTGCCAAACTCATTTGGTACTTCGTATCAGGAATTCTTTATCTCGAATAACATTGAATCACGTATGATGTACGGAAATTACCGATGTTTTGCGAATGCAAATCGATGGAAGGCAATGACGGCTACAAAAAGATTTGTATCCGTGCTTCAAACAATTCAAAATTAACATTGAGGTGTTCGGTAAGATACATACGTTGTTCAATGTTCCCTCGGGGCCAATGGGTTGATGTACCCTCGATGTTTGTTTATGTTTCCCTCTCCCTTCAGGCTCAGGGAACATAAACAAACATCGAGGGTACATCAACCCATGGGCCCCGAGGGAACATTGAACAACTTATAATGTCCAACGTAAGGCACAAACCAGGGTATCAATGTATACAAGGAGGGAAAGCATATATCATAAATACAATTGTCATTAAATGACACCTGCTTGTATATATACCTATAAAACGTTGGAGCGGGAAGATGATTGCAATGTTATTTCAAGGAGTCTTACTGGAGTTGCCAATACGTCATTAAATGACTCTTGCTTGCATATATAAGTATCAAACATTGGTGCAGGAAGATGATTACAATGCTATTTCAAGGAGTCTTACTGGAGTTGCCAAAGGTATGGTCTGTGGAGGGGCCTCTTCCAGAAGTGATACCCTGTCTCCTGTTCCAGTCAGAGAGATCCGTTCTTGAGATCTGTACCCAGCCACAGAAATCGTTCTGGAAGTCGCATGATAACGCTGCCTTCCCCACCGACTGTGTCGTCACTTGTGCGGTCGTCTGTAGAACGGCAGCGGCATTCGGCGGAATTACTGAGTGTATAAGAAATGACGCTACATTTTCTGAGTTTGTTATAATCGTATCAATTTGGTTCATTTCCAATGCGTAAAATGTCTAATTCTATTTACGAAAACAACACAATCATGACACACCTGTATCTTATATAACTGAAAAGGTATCTAGATATTGAGACGATTGTTTCTGTGGCAGTCGAGCGCTTACTTCCACAGTACGACGTCATGACGGTGATGTCGTCAATCGCGATGTCGCCAGTGTAGCTAATGCCCCGGACGCCTTCAAACACAATGGTGTAACTACTGAACCGCTCTGTGATTGGTGCCTCGCCCAGGAACCAGCCGTTGCTTCGGTTACCGGACTGATGCCAGATCATCTTGTCAGTTCGTCCTGTTCATGAAATTTTCGTATGTTTAAAGAACTGCGTTCATATGATGACATATATAGGCAATGTAGGTGTAAAAGGTCAAAGAGGGTTGTATATATTGAATGAAGCTATATCGCTTTAACGGGTACATGAGAAATAAATCTGAATACGTACCAATTACCATATTTGTGAGTGAGTTTTGTTTTACGCCTCTGTTAGCAATATCACGGCGGGGGACACCAAAAATGGTATTCACACCTTCTACCCATGTGAAGAATCGAACCCGTGTGAACAATTGGCACAGTAAGATTATACATAATGTAATAAGCTTATTCTTGAACTGGGACCACATTGTTTAACGTGTATTTACGTCTACATGAATTTTAATAGAATATCTGTTTATTGCTAATCTCCGGCTAAACTTGGAGAACTGGTTTAAACCCGACTGGGGAATGTTGGTAGCGGAGGTGCGGTATGTAACCATGGTTCCCAGTAGGGTGCTGTTGGCAACGTCTGACCCCATCTTTATATCGTTTCCTTGTCGGACAGTTTTAATTACCCCCTAAAAATTAAACCCTTTTAAATACGCGATATATTGCTAATTGTTATACTGTCATTCATTTTTCAAATTTCGTGTAACTGTATATACTGCCGACGGGACTTAAATTAAACTCACTCACTCATGTTATTGAACCAGTATTAACCAATCTTTTCATGTCAGTATGATTGCAGAAATTCCTTTGCAAGTGCGACTTACCGGGCACCCTGATGTAGACGTTGAGGGAACCGACTGTGGCCCCGTACATGCTGTACCAGAAGCTGATGCAGCTACTGGTGTGGGAGGGGGCGAAACTTTCACTGACCAGCCACGCCTTGTCTCCGGCCAGTCTTGGGACCGAGGGTTCGATGTAGAGGTACCTGCCTGCAAACATACCATTGCAAACCTTATCATCTTTTGTGGTTGTGGTTCGTGTGTCCTTTTCATATTTCCCTGACATATTACCCTGGCATATTACGCGTTGCATATTACCCCTGTCATATTTCCCTAACATATTACTTCTGACAGATTATCCCTGGTAGATCATCCCTGACGGATTACCCCTGACAGATATCCCTGTCACATAACCCCTGTGATATTACCCCTGTCAGATTACCCCTGTCACATAACCCCTGTCAAATTACCATTGTCACATAACCCCTGTGATATTACCCCTGTCATATCACCCCTGACAGATTACCCCTGTCACATAACCCCTGTAATATTACCCTTGTCACATAACCCCTGTGATATTACCCCTGTCACATAACCCCTATGATATTACACCTGTGAGATCACCCCTGACAGATCACCCCCGTGAGATCACCCCTGTCGGATCACCCCTGCCAGATCACCTCTGACAGATATCCCTGTCACATAACCCCTGTGATATTACCCCTGTCAGATCACCCCTGACAGATTACCCCATCACATAACCCCTGTGATATTACCCCTATCACATAACCCCTGTGATATTACCCCATCACATAACCTCTGTGATATTACCCCTATCACATAACCCCTGTGATATTTCGCTTGTCACATAACCCCTGTGATATTACCCCTGTCACATAACCCCTGTGAGATCACCCCTGTCGGATCACCCTCTCAGATCACCACTGTCGGATTACTCCTGCCAGATGACCCTTGACATATCACCCCTGTCAGAAATTAAACTATGGCGACACGGAGTCTTGAATATTAAAATGTTCGTATACGTGTCATTTCGCCTTTTGATATGTTGTGTTGATGGATGTGGTAACCATACTGTCCTTAAACCTTTTACTCATTTAATTTTATTCAATTAATTCACAACGGCATTGTGCTTTGTGATTTACTGAGCTGTATACCTTGTCCAATGCCGAGCGTGTGGTCACTCGAAGGTCCAGTAGAGGAACTGGACGTCAAACCGGAACCCAAGGTCCAGTCAAACTGATCTCCCATGCCAGTGTTCGACCAAGTGCACAGGCCAGATTCGAACGTGCAGTCGCCTATAGATGAGGACAATAACAGAAACTTGATTCCCTGAACAGACACGCAGTTGTGTTCTATCAGATGTGGTTACCATGCCCAATCGTCAATAAACATCGATCGAAAATAATTTAAACACACTAAATTCCACACACTATGGTAGAGCAATCTGAAAGTTAAAAATTGCAGTTGTCACAATACAACATTTCATTATCAAAATGTCATTTATTTATAAACCCAAACAAGTAACCGAAAAATTCTTTATAACTTCTTTGAGTGGCATTTTAGAAGTCTCCTTCTGGACAATGACACAAAAATCTGTATTGAAACATCGCACTCACGAAATAAAGAATTTGTTAGCGAAAATTTTCTATTTGGTAACAGTTATTCATAGACATGTAGTGTGAAGCCCATTTCTTGTGTCCCCTGACGTGATATTGCTAGAATATTGCTTAACACATTGTACCCATGTGGGGCATCGAACCCAGGTCTTCGGCGTGACGTAATAAATCGTAACCGTTGTCTTCAACTTACCAGGAATAGAACATACTCCCACGGTGAACTTGACATCGTCCAGAGCTATGTCTGATTTGTAGTTTGAGCCACTGATTCCTTCAAACACCATCTGAATTCCATATGAGTTATTCTGTTAATAGCACCCTGTTGTCACGCAACGATATTTAATTATTCGCACGATACATAGTTTGCTTATTAAAATGAATGTTGCTAAATAACTTATTCTTTACGAAAGCTGCCACTTTGGCAGCATTACATACTTATCAGCGAAAGTTCTGCTTGCTTCGAATATTTTCGCGTTGCTTCGAATATTTTCGCGTTACTTCGAATATTTTTATTTTATATTTTTTTCCAAAACTTGCAATTGCAAGTATTTTCTCGTTGCGTAAGGTGTTCTCCAAAACTTGAAATTTGAAGTTGCTTTGAGTATTTTATCGCAACTTCATTTTTTTAAAGAAACTTGAAGCAAGGAGAAAATACTCTAAGCAACGAAGAAATAATTGAAGTAACAACAAAATACTCGTAATAATGAGTAAATTTCAATTTTTTTACAGTAATTTGAAGTAACGAGAAAGTACTTGAAATTTACAGTTTTTGAAAGAAACTTGAAATAACGAGAAAATACTTTATATTTTATGCTAAAAAACTGGCAGCATTAGGCTTTCGTAATTCTTCACCTACATTGCAGATTTAGATCAACTATAGTTAGATATAAAATGTATATAACTGGTCGACGACCATCTTTGCTGATTGTGCAGAAATTGCTGCTTAGGTTTTAGTTCTGGTGTATCGGAATAGAACGGTAGGCTATGGAATGGGGGTTGGGGAGGAGCAGTAGTGTTATCAACCTCGCACCTGGTATCCTGAAGCGGAAGTTGCTGGGATTGTTGCCTGTCCAAAAGACCAGTAATTGCCCTGGTTACCACTTCGTACAAAAAGTGGTCGACCTCTGTTGTTTCCGACCTGCAACGATATTAGTGTAAAACACTTACATACGTATTACGGTATTTCAAGCTCATGTCGGAATGCGCTTTCCTTGAATAGGTCATCAATAACAATGGCACAGTTCTTGCGATCAAATTCTTAAGAAACGACGAGACTATCAACGACATGATTGCACACAACTCCGAAAAATACTTTGAACATTAATAATTATGTGAACATTTATTGGATCAGTATGAATGTTTGATGGACAGTTTGACGGTTAAAAAAATATCTGTTTGTTTCCAGCTAGAACTAATCACGCCTGGACCAGACAATCCAGTGATCAACATTATGAGCATCGATCTACGCAGTTGGGATACGATGACGTGTGAACCTAGTCAGCTGGTCTGATACCGTCAATCGCTCCTGACGACAAGCATGGGTTCCTGCATGAAGACCAATTCTAACACATGCATAACTGTTGAAAAATAAATGCCAATCATATTTCTGTATATATATGTAAAAATATACCTTAACATAGACGTTCAACGTTCCCATGGAAGATCCGTACATGTGGTAGTAAAACTTAACACACATTGCCTGGCTGTCATGATAGGTCGGCGACAAGATGCGTGCTGTGTCCCCCTGTATTCGGGAGGATGCTTCAGTGTACAGATAGTGACCTGAACGAAAACAGATAAAACAGTGACATACTCCTCTAATCTCGAACTTCGGTTATCTTGAAACTGTTCGTTCCGAGAAGGGTGTCCAGTTTGTTATATAATCGTCTCTGTATCTCCACCTTTAGTTATGTTGAAAAGTTAATGTAAGATGTCAGCTTAATTGTACCATGTTATATGCGCCCGTGGAATTGTATCCCACTATCATATAAATCTAGGAAGTCTGAGAATACACATCTATGCACAGTGAATTGAAGCGCGCCATTGACGGAGAACTGACCCATGCCATACACCAACTTCAATCCTTGGAGATAGGTGTAGGGGAAAGGACTGACTGTCTGACTGAATTTGGTTTTACGCCGCTTTTAGCAATATTCCAGCAACATCACGGCGTGGTACACCAGAAATGGGCTTCACAAATTGTACCCATGTGGGGATTCGAACCCGGGTCTGGTAGGGGAAAGGTGTAGGTGTAGGGGAAGGGATGGGGAGAGAGGGAAAGAGTAAGGAGTAGGGAAAGAGATTGAGATAGGGATAGGACCAGGTGTTGGGGTAGAGGAAGAGATAGAGAGACTTCATTATAACTTGACAGTCACCTACCACTTGATGTTCCGTAGGTGTGGTCGTTGCTGGGTCCTGTGCCGTCAGTGGACGTTGCATGTGACGTCAACGTCCAGTCAAAGGTGTCCGTGGTGTCCTGAGTGTAGCCACACATTGAAATGCCTTCAAAGTCACATTTCCTGACGACTTGCCCTGGGTGGACAGTGGTGTGGACAACCGGTCGCACTGTGCAGAAAAGTATGGAGTTACACAAACCAAAAATATATTCAAGTTGTGTTCCGTTTTAATGCATAGATGAGTTCCTACTTCTTCATCAGATGAAGACTGCATGGTGTGTGACATTTGCCAATCATGGGGCAGGATACGCTCTTCTAGCGTAATCCTGGTATCGTTATTTATTCAAAGTGGTTCAAAACAGTCTGAATCATAAAATCTGAATGTAACAGTCTGAATCATAAAATGGTCAGAGTATTTTGGTAGAAATATCTCACAGTAACGAAATTGATTTTGTCGCTTATTTCATGAAAAACAACATGCATTGCCTTTTCGGCTAGAATGCACTTTACCGGGCGCAGCCCTCGCTGCTCCCTTTACGGTCCTTAGGGTTAGGGTATGGCACCCTTTATGATCCTCAGGGTTAGGGTTAGGGTATGCCACCTTTACGATCCCTAGGGTTAGGCACCCTTTACGATCCTTAGGGTTAGGGGTTAGGGTTAGGGTTAGGGAACCCCAGCAACGCTAATTAATCTGAAAAAGTGCACCCGGTAAAGTGCAGTACTCCCTCAGATTTAGTTCATGATGGAGGCTGGTCTGTATCAGTACCCGTGCATGCATTATCTGCCAATAAGACGTCATCGACGGCAATGCCTCCGTTATACCCGTCTGCCGTCACAGCTTCTATAACAACCTGAAACAAGAGTGTTGAACAAAACTTGAAACAACAAAACATGAGTACTGAAATAACAATAATAATAACAATAGTAGTAGTAGTGATAGTAGTATCAGTGGTAGCAGTAGTAGTAGTACTTGTAGTAGTAGCAGCAGCAGCAGTAGTAGTACTTGTAGTAGCAGCAGCAGCAGTAGTAGTACATGTAGTAGCAGTAGTAGCAGCAGTAGCAGTAGTAGTGGGAGCAGTAGTACTTGTAGTAGTAGCAGCAGCAGTAGTAGTAGTAGTTGCAGTAGTAGCAGCAGCAATAGCAGTAGCAGCAGCAGCAGTAGTAGTACTTGTAGTAGTAGCAGCAGCAGTAGTAGTACTTGTAGTAGCAGTAGTAGCAGCAGTAGCAGTAGTAGTGGGAGCAGTAGTACTTGTAGTAGTAGCAGCAGCAGTAGTAGTAGTAGTTGCAGTAGTAGCAGCAGCAATAGTAGTAGTAGTAGCAGCAGCAGTAGTAGATGTAGTAGCAGCAGCAGTAGTAGTACTTTTAGTAGTAGTAGCAGCAGCAGTAGCAGTAGTAGTGGGAGCTGTAGTACTTGTAGTAGTAGCAGTAGTAGTAGATGTAGTTGCAGTAGTAGTAGTGGTGGTAGCAACAGTAGTTGTAGTAGGTTGTTTTGTACAACGGCACCCACGCGAAGATGGTAAGCATGCCCTCCTGCCTTACTGGTAGCACCCACCATATTAACGTGTACAATCATTGCACTGGAATCTACACACTGAGTGAGTGAGTGAGTGAGTGAGATTAGTTTTACTCCACTTTTAGCAATATTTCAGAAATATCACGGCGGGGGACACCCGAAATGGTCTTCACATATTGTACCCATGTGGGGAATCGAACCAGGGTCTTCGGCGTGATGAACGAAGGCTTTAACCACTAGGCTACCCCACCAGCGCCTACACACTTGGTGTATGCTGGAAGTATCACCAGATGGATTAGTGAACACTCGACATTTTCGGCTTCGAGGGCAGTAGTAATATAACCAATGGTGGGTGACTGAGAGAGTGAGGGCTTAAAGTCGTATTTAACAGTATTCCATGACAGGGGCAGACCGTCACTCGATACCATCATAGGTTTCTGGGGTGCCCAAGGGATGAAGCATAGTTGGAAACATCATTTACGTTATATGTTACTCCTCCTCCACCTCCTCCTCTACTACTACTACTACTACTACTACTACCACCACCACCACTACTACTACTACTACTACTGGGCGGTGGGGTAGCCTAGTGGTTAAAGCGTTCGCTCGTCACGCCGAAGACCCGGGTTCGAATCCCCACATGGGTACATTGTGTGAAGCTCATTTCTGGTGTCCCGCGCCGTGATATTGCTGGAATATTGCTAAAAGCGGCGTAAAACCAAACTCACTCACTCACTCACTACTACTACTACTACTACTACTACTACTACTACTACTACTACTACTACTGCTACTACTGCTACTCCTACTCCTACTGCTACAGCTACTTCTACTACTACCACTACCACTACTACTATCACTACCACTACCACTACCACTACCACTACCACTACTGGTACTGCTACGACTACTAATTATAGGACCTGTGAAGATCCGGGTTAGAATTTATCCTCAGCAACCCATGCTTGTTACACTATGTAGTAAGAGGGGTCGGGTGGTCAGACTCGCTGACTGGGTTTACACATGTCATCGTATCCTAACCTCGTAGCTCGATGCTCATTCTGTTGATCACTGGACTGTCTAGTCCAGACTCGATTATTTACAGACCGCCGCCATATAGCTGGAATATTGCTGAGTGCGGCGTAAAACAACAGACCAACCAACTACTCGTAAATATACATAATAGAAACACACGTGGAAGCTCGTGGAGTGCCAAGCATCCGGAACCTTCTACTCACCGAGTATGGCGTATGTCCCTCCACCACGGTGATGGCAGCTTGGTTCCAGGTCAGGCCCTGGGTTCCTGTCTTGGTCCAGATGGGGCTGCCTATCATTGAGGTGGACTTGATGTAGACGTTGAGGGTGCCGATATGGTCGCCGTGCATGTGGTACCAGAAGGACAGACACTGGGTCACCAAGCGAGGGATGATGGTGTTACTCTGAATTCTGGCTGTCTTGTTGGCTGTCAGTCCACTGACCTCTGTGTAGAGGTAGTACCCCTCTGGAATACATATGATTGAAATCTGTGAACAGTAGTTGTGTATGAGTGAGTGATTTAGGTTTTACCCTCAATTCAGCAATATTTCAGCAATATCCGAATTATGATGTCGCGTCCATAGACTGGGAGTGAGTCACACCACAATCAGCAATATTCCATCAGCAATATCACGATCTGATATCGCGTCCTCAGCCTGGGAGTATAAGTATATCGTAGGTAGCAATATTTTAGTGATATCCCTCCGGAGTTGAGTTTTCTGGATAATTAAAACCTGTGACCAATAGCATTATTATGTCCACGCTGCTTGATGGGGTGGATAGAGCTATTTAGGGCGCTGTATACATACTGCCTGTTGTGTGATCAAGCAGAGGCCCCGTCCCACTGGAAGCTGTGGATCCCTGATGTCGTGTCCAGTCGAAGTCGTCGTTCTTCATTTGAGTCCAGCCGCACATGTCGTTGTCAAAACTGCAGGTGATAAGCTTGGACGCTGAAACCCAGTGAAATATAAGTGAAAGGGATCAGTGACTTAATTTTATTTAAAGAAATAACTGTTATAAAAAAGGCAAAAAAAAAGAAGAAAGAAAAATAACAAAACAAACAAAAAAACCCCCAAAAACCTAACATCCTAAACCCCCCCAAACCCAAACAAACAAAAAGAAAAACAAAACAACAACAAAACAATGCAAAAAAACCCAAACAACCCAAAGAAAACAAAACAATTGTAACAGTTAGAAACGTAGGTGACACTGTTTCCTAATCTGAATATTATGCATAGGTTTTCCAAGCAAACATTCAATCATACTTAAGATCTACCCCGACGAAACAATCCCTAAGTTTGTACAACCTATTGTAAAGCTCAGGGCATTTTTAACAAATCGCAAGCAATGACGCCATTGTTGACCCGTATTGAAGCTATGTCACGAGATAATTAAGCTGTTTGAAGATGGTCCAGAAAGGTTCTTGCATACGATTTTGATGGAACCTGGGTTCACCACAATACCAATGAAACCAGTGGAATCATTTGACTTCACAGCACCCATGAAGTGTCAAGGCAATAAGCTGATCATAATGTATTGCCTTTTCTAAGAAATTACAGCATGAAGTTAAGACAAAGAGAAGTAGGAAGCAGACAAAGGCATGCTACTGACCCGGCTTCAATTTATGGTTGGACCATATAGTTGAGCAAATAAATCTTTAAGTAAGTATTCAAATAAGTAACACTTGCAATGCTTGATTGACGTATAGTAGATATTACCTTGCAGAGAACAAGGCCCGTCGATAACTTTAATGTCGTCGATGAAAATGTCACCTTTCTCGCCGTCTCCGCGAACAGCCTCGATCACAACCTGACGATTGCGAATTCACTTGTTGTTGAACAATAACAGGTATATTTCTCTTCTGCTGGTGTATATGAGCCAAGGAAGAAATGCTATCTTAAAGCTTAATTCCAGTACACACATTCTATTATCAATACGAAGAATTGAAATACCTTGAAACATTAGAATACCTCAAAACTAAGAATAACATTTAAATACCTCATAACTAAGAATAACATTAGAATACTAATTATAATGTCTTTCGTCATGTTCACATGCGAAAAAAACAGTACACACAAGCTATTTGAAAAAGGCACATGAAGGTGTATAATTCAGTTTTACAATTTGCTAAGTCTTGACCAACCTGAAAGTCCGAAGCCTCTGGGAGGGCAATTCTTGCCTCTATCCAGTCGGTTCCCTGGTTGCCATGGCGAGTCCAGATGCGGTTCCTCGTCGTGCTGGTCTTCCCGTACACGTTGAGGTTGTTGACGTGCTCTCCGTACATGGTGTAGTAGAAGACCAGACATTTGGACTGACCACTGGCGATGGTCAACGTCGGACTGATCAACTGTGCATTGTCTCCATTTGTACCGAGAGACGATCCCACGTGGATGTAGTGTCCCTCTGTGTTCAATGTTGGCAACATTAGAAGAGGTACTTCAGAAAACAGCAATGTCAGATGTTTAGTTCAGGACCAGGAATACGTGTAAAATCGACGATTATAGTCTGACGCAATGCATTCAGTACCAAGACGAGTGGGTGAATTAGTGAGTGAGTGAGTGAGTGAGTGAGTGAGTGAGTGAGTGAGTGAGTGAGTGAGTGAGTGAGCGAATGAGTGAGTAATACTCCAGTAATCGGGGGATAGCAGAAATGGGCTTCACTCATTGTACCCATGTGGAGAATAAGAATCGAACACATTTTACCCATGTAACGTCCAAGATGAACGATCTTAACATTCTGTAATGCAAATCTGTAAGACAACATGGTCAGCTGTATCACTTATCAAACGAATAATATCAACTGAAATTTTTACAACAACTTTAAATCATAAGTTATTTATCGCTGCGTCAGCATTTTCGCGGCGAGTGTTTCGGTAGGAGAATGTAAACCAATGTAATGTGAACTGAGTCATGACGTCACGATGAAGATGATGTCACTGAAACAGCAGCATGCAACGAAGATGCCTGGCTGCTTGCATTAGTTCGAACCTCTGCCGGTTTTGTAGAGCCAGGACAATGATAGGGCAATACGAACTTACGCATCAGCTGAAATATCACTTGAAGGAACAGTTGTATAAGAAATATAAGCAATAACGTACTTCCAGTGGTGTGGTCACCGCTTGGTCCGGTGCCGGCTTGGGCAGTCCATGGTATCAGATTCCAGTCAAACTTGTCGGTTCCTTGATCCTTTGTCCACAGACAGAAGTTGGTTTCAAAAGGGCAGTCAAGCTTTGTGTTAACAGCTGAAAGAATACATTCAGATTCATAGTTATATGTCAATAGCCTCACAAGATGGCATCCAAAGATAGGTGAGGTGAGGTGAAATTGGGTTTAACGTCGTGCTGGAGAATATTTCGCTCATATGACGACGTGCATGCGTGTGTATGTGTATGTGCGGCTGCTTGTACTAGCCCAGACTTAAGCTGGTTTTATAGTGCTAGCCCACTGAGATACCATGCCGCAGTGAAGCATGAATACCCCACTCAGACACATTATACTGACTCCGAGCCGACCAGTCCTTGTTGTACCCATAAATGCCGAGCGCCAGACAGGGACCAACAAGTACCATATTTTAACGTCTTTTGGTATGACGCGGTCGGGGATCGAACCCGCGACCTTCCGCTCTCCGGCATCCAAAGATCAACAGCGGGGTGACTATAGTTGTTGGTTTGTTGTTTAACGCCGCACTCAGCAATATGCCATCTATGGCGGCGGTCTGTACATGATCATACAATCCACTGATCAACAGCATGAGCATCCTTCAACGCAATTGGGATGGGATGACATGTGTCAACCAATTCAGCGAGCCTGACCACCCGATCCCATTAGTCGCCTCTTACGACAAGCATGGGTTGCTGAAGGCCAATTCTAACCCGGATCTTCACGGATGTAGAGTCGAATTGAAACTGGAAGGCAAAAGATCCATTCGAGACATAAAAGCTTCGGGATATGAACTTTACAGCAAATACACACTTCCTAAATAAGTGGTTATTTGAATTCCGTGTGACAAAGATGCATTCACAATAAAGAGATCCGACATACAAGGTGTTTCAATTCATCCGAGCGTGTAAGAACCTTTGACAGTCTGAGCTGACTGAGTTATTAAATTGTATTAAATTAATACAATTGACAAATTCATTTCTATATTCATGACATCTCGGCTAAAATCGTTAGGTATAAAACCCCGATTTTCTGGAATTAACATGCGGCGGAATAGTCGGTCATATTGGCGGCAATACTTTGACATCTTAGCCTGTATTATAAAGAGGTATACAGGAAACGTTGTTTGAGGGTCACTCAAGAGATGAGTTGCCCGGATGACGCTACATATATACTTCATAAGTAGGTGGCAACAATAGAGGAAGAGAAAACACCATGGACCGGCAAGGAGCAGGGACCATCAACAACAATGGGGAGAAGCTTTCTGCATTTTGCCACAACCTAAGGATAGGAGGAACCTTGTTTGTCCACAAAGACATCCACAAAACGACATGGAGCTCTCCAGATGGTCACACAGAAAACCAAATTGATCATGTCATCATCAACAAGAGATGGAGAGGCAGCCTACAGGACGTCGTAGCAAGGCGATGAGCAGACGATCTGTGGAGGCAGAGATGAAGGATGCAGGGTGGACGTGGGGACAGGTGCAGCAAAGGTCCCAGGATAGACAGTATTGGAAAACTCTAGTAACGGCCTTATGTGCTAAGAGCACGAAGAGGAAGTAAGTAAGTAAATATATACTCTTAAATAGTAGAAGAACCTGAACTTTCAATTTGGATAGGAAGTATAAGCGTTAACAAACATTTCACAGACAGACATCTTATGAACGCACCACCATTTCTCTTCACCACCACCCCTAAACACAACGCAAGAGATGCACGTGCACAACGTAGTAGCCCCATACACGTGCATGGGGTGTCATTCTTGATTTTGACGGTTTTCAAGAAGGTCGATAACTCACTGTAGACCATAAATTTTGACAATCATCTTGCATCACACAGTTGTTAGTGTTTGTTTTGTTGTTTTGAAAATGAAAATCGTACACATGCAAATTTCACTTCATACACCAATCATCTTTCAAGAGCGATTCCTGTACAAACAACTATGGTTATAAGGAGGTGCAAGTGGTGATGCACTCTCAAAACATTCATTATTATCATATCAACATTAATTGACTACGATATATCGTAAATAAAAATTGAAGTTCCCCTATTTTGTTTAAAGAGTGTATATAAACGAACCTGAACATCCAACTGCTAGCGCCCACAAAATCGTGACGACTGCTGCGGTCATTCGTATGCTTTGGTGAAAATTGTCACCTTTCCCTGCTACAATGAGGACTGAGCACTGAGTACTCGAATATAAAGGCTAGTGTTATTGATGTGAGAGTCAGTGTTATCAACTGGGTGTATATCGCAGCCAACATCCAACGTCGCCGATGTCACTTAGAAGTACGTGATTAAACACTTGAGACTGTTGATAGTACACATTGTGCCTGGACGATCTGTGCTGTTCGCTATACGATCTATCCGTTATCGATAACAGATTATATTTTTAAGAATGAAACTTCGGGAGTAAATGAGTGAGTGAGTATGGTTTTACGCCGCTTTTAGCACACCCAAAATGGGTTTCACACACTGTATCTATGTGGGGAATCGATCCCCGGTTTTCGGGATGACGAGCCAGCGCTTTAACCACTAGGCTACCCCATCGCTCCCGGGAGTAAGTAGAACGTATTCTGTTTCCTTTTCAGAAATGGTAACCTTCAACCATATGGGGGAAGTGGAAGTGTAACGTGTTTGGTGTTTTACGCCGCAAATATTCCTGCTTAATAAAGGTTGTATGTCAAATAATATTGAATGTGGACCAGATAATCCATTGATTGACATCTTGTGCATCGAACCACGGAGTCGGGATACAATGACACGCGTCAACTGTGTCACCGATCTTGACCACCCAATCCTGTTAGTCGACTGGACAGAACTGTTTGAAACGCAGTGAGTTTCAAACACCCGTGAAGACCAGGTTAGAATTGGTCTTCAGTCACCCATGCTTGTCGTAACAGGCGACTGACAGGATCGGGTGGTCATGCTCGCTGATTGGGTTGACACATGTCATCGTATCCCAATTGCGTAGATTGTTGCGCATGCTGATGATCACTGGATTGTCTGGTCAGACTCGATTATTTACAGACTGTCGCCATATAGCTGAAATATTGCGGCATTAAACAACAATCCAGCGAAAGCCTAGTGCTTTGGCCTCCAAGGTTTAAGGAGTTGTTATCTATGAAACTGCTATCAGCTTGTTCGGCCAAGTTGTTTAGTGTAAAGTGAACCCGCTGGGCACCCTTATCGTATAATGAATTGATATGGCAGATATATCCCTTGAAGATTTATACTTGCATAGTAGGTGGTAAAGACAATTTGTTTGCAGCTCGCTGTATATATGTATGTAAGTATGTATGTATGTATGTATGTATGTATGTATGTATGTATGTATGTATGTATGTATGTATGTATGTATGTATGTATGTATGTATGTATGTATGTATGTATGTATGTGTGTGTGTGTGTATGTTTATATGTGTGTGTGTGTGTGTGTGTGTGTGTGTGTGTGTGTGTGTGTGTGTGTGTGATTGAAATCGTGAGGTCACAGGTCTGAATACACGACTTCGTCTGGTTGATAATTTTGTGAGGCCTCCTCCTTGTTGAGAAGTAGAGACCTCACTGTAAGATGGGGAATTATGTTGTTAGGGAACCTTCAAAAGAGAAGGAAATCGTGATCACAGAATTGTGACGTGATCCGTATATTTCTGGAGTGCAAGTGATGACTGTTACAGAACAATCAATAAGATTATATAAAATATTCATGCAAAAATAAATGAAAGTTTGATAATCTAAGAAATTCATACACTGTTAATAATTTTAAACATTCCATATTTTAGAATTATTACGGTAATGGCTTAACAACATTTTACAGTAAGTACGGTGTCACATGTTTTCTTATCGACAATAAACTCATACAATGAAACACATGTGACATAAAGACAATTATACATGAGTACAGGTTAATGATACACAATGTGGACAAAGGGGCTCCTGGTAGATAGAGATTACGAGTGTGGCCGGAGGCTACTTAAAGCAATGATCCACGAAATATCTCAATTAACACTAGGTTTACAAATGTAAAAGGCAGTTTGCGTGAGACGCTGCACCTAGCCTATAGTTTAACATTGTCCATTAATGACTTGATCATTAAATAAAACAACACACATTACAACATATGCATTACAATATGTACACTACAAATCTGACACATAACGTTAATTCTAAAGGTTGGTAATCATGTTTAGATGCGTCGCTAGTAATGAAGGGAGACAACTTCATGTCTTAACATACCAGTCGCAAAGGGAGATACAATGATTACTTTTATAAAATACTATTTGTCGCAGAGATTCAATATTACAGTTTACAATATAGTTTAACATAACTGATATAAACATTGTATCCACTGATTTAAGTCTGGAAATACACCTTGTACACACTGGTCAAGGTAAAGCGAATGTTTCCGAATTGTCAACGCGTGGATACGTGTCGACTGGGGAATTAGCCCATGTTTAAGATGAAGTGTACGTACAATACGTTGACAAGACGAAGGAATACGTTGAGCTCAAACTTCCTTAGTTACATGACAAACAAATACACAAAATTTAAACGTGGTTAGTGGAGTACCTGCTCAACCTCAGGACGTTTCCTACGAGCGGCATTATCCTGCTCGTGGTCGTCCCTACACAAGCAGGCGGTATACCGGACTCGACTCCTCGACAATGTATACGCGAGCATATATATACAGTTCTTGACAACAATGGACAGGCGACGACTCAACAATGTAACATATGTTATATTTGGGATTACACTTTCTTAGTAACGTACAGATTCTAGTAGTTTTTGGGGTTGAATCCCATCCGGGATTCGAACCCACACCCTCAGAGTCAGGCACCTAATAGCCAGCACACAAGGTCAGACGCCTAGACCAAAAAAGTACTAGAATCTGTACTTTACTAAGAAAGTGTAATCCCAAATATAACATATGTTACATTTGACCACTTTCTAAGATGGCATTGTGTATTTCATGACTCAACAATGGACAAGATGGAAAAACAATAGCACTTCCTTGACCAGTTGAAGTGATGGCAGACACGGCCAAGTGGGATGACCAATTAAGGTTATAAATGTCATACACAGTAATTAATTGCCTGACAAGTCAATGTACAATGCGAAAGTGATAAGGATTACATAGAATACAGATTAGCGTCATATAAATAATTACAATAAACTCTCACATGTCTTGACTACATAGTTTTGGACTTTTTAAATATTTGAACGATGGCTGTCCTGAATTAGTCTCTATAACAACTTCCCTCTGCTCCGTAAAGCTTGGATACCAAGCTTAAATAAATTGAGTCCAAACTGATAGGAGTGAAGCTATATAAATACCAACAGTGCGAATCAGTAAGTACTCACAAAGGAACAATTCTTGATGTCGTTGAAATTCCGTGCAACAAATATATCTATACAATTACGGTATAAGAGTGAACATCTTGCCAGTCTGACTTATCAGAAAAATAATCAAATGATCGTTGTAATGTACATTTCACATCCAGGTATTTACTACTTTGGATAATATCTTTGAAATCGGGAGGTGAGGCTCAGTACCAAATAATGACAATAATTAGCGTCATAAAAAGTACACATTAAGCATCTCAGCAAATATTTCACATTAAGAAATTTGAAACCAGGAGTCTAACTTTACCGCGCGACTCAGACGGTACTTGTGGGTAATGTTGCCCGTTTAAGTAAGATGGGTTCTCTTCCTGTGTCTGTGACGGAGCTTGCCCATATACAGTACAACCAGAAATTATTGAGAATTTAAAGATTGTAATTTTTATATTTTTTTCATTCATTTCTCACGTATTAAATGTGAATATTAGCAGAACATAACTCACGATTCAAAAACAGGTGAACAGTTAGTATTTTGTCAAGTCACCATGGGCAGTAATGCAGGCTTCAATGCGGCGGGGCATACTACTGATCAAAGAAGTTAGAAAGTAGTGGTCCATGCTGTCCCACTATCGGACCACCTCTTCTTTCATTTCAGCAATATTTGTCAGATTTTTCTTATTGCCACTTTCCTTCATAAGTCCCCAAACATTTTCTATTGGATTAAGGTCAGGGCTATAGCTTGGCCAATCTAATAATGTCATATTTTGGGTTCGAAACCAGGCCTGTAAATGCTTTGAACGATGGTTTTGGTCGTTGTCCTGCTGGAAAATCAAAACATTTCCATAGAACACGTGAGCAGATGGAAGTTAATGTCCCTCAAGAATATCTGTGTACCGCTCACTGTTCATATTCCCTTCAAATACACAGAGCGGCTTTGCCCCTAACACAGAAATGCCACCCCACACGTTAAATTTCGGACTGTACTTTGGGCGCTGATACAAAGGTTGTTCAGTTTGTTTGGTCCAGAATTTCAGTGTATTAGGAAACAGCCACACATAACTTTCATCTGAGAAAATCACATTGTCCCAGTTAAAATTTCTATGCTGTAAAAAGCACCAGTTCAACCTTCGCTCCTTTTGTTCAGGTTTCATGATCGGTGATGGAATTCCTCAACTTTTCTGCCAACCCATTGCATGCAGCTCAGTTCTAATTGTCTCCTGACAGACAGCCACAGTTCCTCTATCAATCAAATCCAGCCTTAAGTTTTCTAAACTCCTTCGTTTGCTTTTAGAAACAAGAATACCAAGCCGCCTCCTGTCACTGACATTCAATTTTCTGGGTCTACCTGCGCCTCCCTGGTGCTCAATGCCATATCCATTTGCAATATTTTTCAAAACACGATAAACAGTGGACAAAGGGATGCCTATTCTACTTCAAATCACTTCAGCTGTTCTGATGTCCGTGTTATAATACTCAACTTCCTCTTCTAAATCATCCATACTGAGTATCACTGAAAATGTCGTCTGCTAGCAAGTAAACAAAGGGGGATAACACTTCACAAACTAATGAAAAAGGATTAACGGAGTTGTCTCTCTTGAATGAAACCAAGCATTTGATAGCTGGTCAAGGTTGTTTATACTAGAAATCCAATTAAACATATTCCTAAAATTCTCAATAATTTCTGGACATACTATACTACATTAGAAACTTGCATCGTCAGCGGGTGCATCAGGTTTCATACTTGTCTTTCGCTCGAGAATCAGCATCCAGCTGAGCAGAATACAACACACCATCATGTCATAGTGTCCTAGATTGATGCTCCTGATGTTGATCACTGAATTGTCTGGTCCAGATTCAATTTACAGACCGCCGCCATATAGCTGGGATATTGCTGAGTGCGGTGTAAAACTCACTCACCACTAATGTCAGAATC